GAGAAGACTATATGCCCTGACAACGACGTCCGTAATCTCAGAAAAGATTATTCGGAGGAGACTACTAACAAATTTAGGGGATCCTCACAAAAATTTTGTTATTAACACAAAGGCAAAAGTCAGAACTTTTCGATGTCGCTGGAGTATTCTAACAAGTCATTACTCACTATACCTGCTTTATATACGATTACTCTTATGCAATTGCAAATAAACAAAAATCAACTACTTCTTCCAAACCCTTTTTGTTTTTGTTTTTACGTACATGCTTGTTTTTCATGCTCAAGATGACGGTCACCAAAGTACATGAATGCAAGAGGTTATGCTAAAACAACAAATAAATTATTTCGTTATCGTTTGTTGAATTGATATTTGATGCACAAGCTCTACAACGTGTTTAATAAAATACTTTTAGAGTTGAACTATGTCCTGGATCGCAACACGTTTATCGCCCGCATGATGGCGACTGAAATTGCTGACCAGTGCCCGGGTGTAGGCCCTCCAATGGAAAAAGTCATACCTCATACAAGAGCATCATTTAGAATCCAGGTAAAATAGACAAATACTCAAACTGCCACTTTTTCGTTGACAATGACTGCAGGATGTCATCCCCAAATCCCACCTAGAATCGTACAATCCGAGTGAGGAAGAGAAGAAACAAATTTTTCCGGAAGATATAAAAGAGATTGAGAAACTACTGGAGCATAAAAAAGGCCATGTACAACGCTTTGGTGGACTAATAAGGACTATGCATGAGGCGAAAAGGTAAGGAGCTTTTGCAATTTTGCAATCATGCTTATCACGCTTTTTTTGAGAAGTGTCAAGAAAAACGGAGATATAGAGGAACAATGACGGATATATATGGTTTACAAAATTGTGGATGACGGTAATGTAATAAAAATTTCTAGCCGTGTACATCCAGTAAAAAAGACAGCACTTCCACACATTTACACCGTTGGCATTTTTTCCGTAATAAGCGTCAGTGTGCATTGTATCCGTATTTGCTTTATTTGTGGAGCCAAAGTTTAATGCTAGGGTCTACGGAGCAAAAAAATCGATTTGTAGCTGGTCTAAATTAACCCAAATTGAAGCACTTCACTCTATCTCTTTTCCGTTAGAGTTAGGCCAGACTGCTTGGTGTATACGGCGAACACGACGTATGCACTGTGCTCCGTATATCATTATGCACGTCTGGTACTGCATGCCTCGCGTACGCCTCCTACGCCGCGCAGCTTGGCCCAGTCCTTATTGGTGAGATACGTTATTCCATTTTGCTTCAACGTTAGTCAGTCTCCAAAAAAGTTCTTATTCCCCACTTTCCATGTTTCCACCTTAGATCGTTATGAATCTACAATACTAACAAATACTCACCATCAGTAATCATAGATGACACAATCCTCGCAGAAAAGTTGATTTTATGAAGCTTCAAGTCAATATAAATCCATATAGGGCGTAATAGCAACAAAAGCGCATGCCATTTGTATCGCTCTTTGCATCATCCACTTCCTAGTGGTAAAGGCCAGGAAGAGCTTGCCAAAGAGTTTTAAATTCACTTTTTTGTTTTCGCACTTCATTGGAACTGCATGATATTGCGTAGGAAACGGAGATCAACAATCCCAGTCGTCATACACAACCATTCGTATATACTACGAGTTTCTAAAATATAATAGTTTAATTTACAATCTTGAAGATGACCCGGCTAACTCAGTGGGTTGAGCAACGGGTCAGGGGTTTGGGGTCCCCTTTCGAAAACTGCTTATGATTATAATAAATGCGATAACACATGTTTTGAAAAGGCTTAGTGCATACAAACATGTTGAAAGCGAAGCAATGTTAGACTTTGGAGCTTGCATTCGGGACAAGCTCTGAGGCACGCAGTAGCGAATGAATTGCAGTATCTCAGTCACAGACAGGGTTGAGCGAGGGGTCAGGCGCGCC